GGTAGACTTGAGAGACAGCCATTAGTGTAGTGTAAACCAGAGATTGGCAACTTAAGGCCCTGGGCTGCCAGGACTCTGGGAACTTTGAAGAAGTTCCAGGTTCGTGCTACCCTGGGAACTTCAAAGGGCAGGAGCAGCAGGAACAGGTAGAAGTTGGAGCACTGGATTCAGGGACAGAGCCACCTTTTACCTAGTACCCTTACGGGCAGGGGGCAGTGTCCTGACAGCTCTGGGGAACCAGCCATTTTCCTGCCTTCTTTACTACTTGGATGGGGGAGGGAGAGCAAGGGACAATGGGATATTAGTAAATAGTAATGCCAATTCAGACATTAAATTTTGTGGTGAAAAGCCTTTGTGCCATGAAGAAGTTGCTGTTCTTAAATGTCAACTTTTTGTGATGGATCCTCAATTTTTTGGGGCTGAAAGATTTACTGTTTTTATCCCGAAACAACTTTAACAGCAACTTCTTAGTTATGGATTTGCCTTTTTTTGTAGTAGGTCACCTATTTTTATAGCACAACAAACAACATTAATGTGTGGATATTTGTTTTGTTGTACTAACCTTATATATAAGGTGGGACAAATGTAAATGTCTGCCAGGGTCCTGAGAGAGTTCAGATATTCCTATGCTCTGGTGTATAGTGTAGAGTCAATGACCAATCTTCATTAACAGAGTTAAAGTTGTCTGGTGCAGCTGTTGTCATCTTTGAGAATGGCAAGTTCAAGAAAACTAAGACTTTCGAAAACCAAGAAATAGTCTGGGTACATACACTTAAGTCACTAGCAGTTACAAAGTCATTCCACATTGACTCAAGGCCTCCACTGCTGCAGACATAAATAAGAAGCAGCAGCTTTCTGGATGCTTACACACTTCCTTGACACACAATTCAGTCTGCATAACCAAGTCAGGCCCTGTATGTCCCTTTTGTCCCTCTTGTACACCCTGGTCCACCTTGTGAGCCCCCTTGTCCTATCTTTAGCTATATACAGGATTGATATGTAACTTAATGCTGTATTTCTTGGTTTTAAACTGGTTCCTTTAACAGGGCCCCTTTCCTGGTTGATGTGCTCAGGCAGTGAGAGGACACACCCTAGGAAGATAGGGTATTGCTCCCTTTGTAGGCATTGGGAACTGACAAGGCCCAGACTGACTGAGATACCTATGGGAATTTTCTGCTATATGGCACTATTAATTTTCTCCAAAAGATAAATTTAAAAAATGTATATTTTGATAGAAGCAGATTGTAAGGGTCCTTTTGGAATCTATGGACTGCATGTGGGATCTTTACCCCACCCTATTCCTTCCAGAGACCTAATGCATTACAGAGCAATCCAAGTAAACATTTGGATTTTAGAACACGTGATTTAGCCCTTTAAGAGAGAGGCTGTGTCATCTATAGCAGAGATGGCACACTGCTTTAATTATAGATCTGGCACATAGTGAAACTGCCCAATTTATTCAGTGCAAAAGGATAAATTGCCTGGCATCTTTAAAGAAAATGCTAGTTTAAACACTGAATTCTTTGGGTGCCTTCACTGTTACTGTATCAATCCAAATAACCATTTCAGTAGTTTTCAGATATTTGCTTTGCATACATTAATATAATATTTTTTGTATAATAAAAATGTAGGACACATAATTAAAGCCCATGAGAAAACTACTAGGATTTTGTCTGAGTATTGGTATCAACTGTTCTTGCTTCAACTACAGAATGCATGAAAAAGGCCTGGAACCTGATCTTGATTATATGGTTATAAATTTGGTAGAAGTTCACTAGTTTTTGAGGTCAGGCTTAACTGATCAAAATCTGCCCCAAAGTGTATTGCCAGGCACTACATCATTAAAAATAGAGAAGGCTTCAAAAATGAGGAAGAAGTTATGTAACTGGCTTTATTTATCAGTTTCCACAGTTTTACTAAAATTTTTTTTTTTTTTTGGATACATTGTTCAGTGACTAAAACATGGCTTGTAACTGCATTTACATGCATTTGCAATCAGGTCATCATTAAAAAGAAAGGAAAAGGCAGCAACAGAAGGAAAATAAAACCTGAAGATCTCAAATTTTGTTATAGTTCCTTTTTTAGAGGTAACATTGCTACTAAACAGTGATCTATGCTAATGTAGCACACATGAAATACAAATGTTTATACCGTAGCTTTGTTGGATATTTTTTGGAAATGGGAGCGCCTGAGCCAGTAGTCAAGCAGGCTTGTAATTACCATATTTTTCTCACATGCACTGCTCCCCTTCCCCCCCCCCCCCCCCCCCAAAACAAGTTGCTGTAAATTTGTGTGCAGATTATATCCAATTGAATTGTAATAAGAACATAAAGTTATGTAAAATTGTACTGAGCAAAATGGTATATTTTCAATTAAATTTAACTTTGAGGTGTCTGCTTTTGTTGCTGATAATAAATAGCTAACTTGTTGAGACTTCTGTGCAAACCTCTAAAAGCATAACAATTCGGAGGGCAAGGGCCATGTTTAGCTGCTGTTTTGTTTTGCAGATTGAGTTGATGCGTGTTTGTGAATTTAATTCAGTAAAAACTTTTCTTGATGTGTTTTATATAAAATTCTTGTGGATTTTTTTGGTTACCACTGTCTGTGTAAAGTTTTGGGACTTGTTTTCATCTTGATAATCAAATTAAATAAAAATGAAGTGACTGGTATTGGTTTGTTTGGGGCCTTGTTTTGTCTACTCATTTAGAGCGTGTAAATGGACAACATTAATAGTAATGACAGATAATCTAGTTACCCTGAAGCAAATGTAAATGATGAAAAAATAGTTGTTCAAAATAGTTCCAGAAGAACCTGATTAGCTAATGGACTTCTTTAGTCCTGGGGAAAAACTAAAAGTCAGTATATAAAACTAACAGTTGCTTGGTGATCTTATCAACAGGGTTGATTATTCATAATCCAAAGTGCAGTCACTGTGCCATCTGTGAAGGAATCGGTGGCTTTAGACTTGTCGAAGGTGAAATGGGGTATGCTAGTTCCATGGAGTATTGAATATTTACTGATCGTTCAGTTTGAGGTTGAGGGAGGCAGCAAAGTTGGACTGGTGTGGTGTGCTCAAGGTAGAAAAGGAGGGATGGATTCCCATTGTCAAAGTACAGACAAGCCTGCTTTAGAGTCTGTGATTTTGTAGTAGGAAGCACAAGGCTTGAAGAATGGTGTGCAAATGTGCTGGAACATAAATTCACATGACTGTTATTTGAGACATGGAACCTATTCATGCTACTGCATGCATGTCTAAGTTGAATCTAGTGAGTGTTTCACTTGCTGAAAAGAACATCGTAAAGAAAAAGTCAGATGTACTCTTTAAGCTGCATTTTGTTTGAGTTAAGCATCAGTATCAAATAGCAAACTTCAGTCTGAAGGTTATAATCACATTTACACTTTTTAAACTACCTGCTAACTGTGCCGAGGTATCTAAAAGTGTTAGAAATAGTAATACACCTTATTTTGTATGCTATGGCTGACTTAAATTTACATAAATTAAAATTGGAAATGTTCAGCCTGGTTACTTATTTTCAACAGTGCATTACTCTCTTTTAACAATCACAGAGATAAAGGAGTAAATCTGTAAACTGACTTAGCGGTTTCTAAGCAAAATTTAATGAGGCTGAATTTTACTCTGAAACATTCCATTCACTTGATGCAGCCACGATGCTGCTCTTGTAATGAAGTTTGACATCAGTTAACTATGGAGACTGGATTATTCTTTTACATGTAGGACATCTCCAGGAGGAAGAGAAAATTTAAAGAGGTGAAGATCTGTCCTAGGCTGTTAGATGAAGGAAAGTTAAAGTGCTTTTCCATGTACAGGATAATAATAGCTGTATTTTTAAAATCAAATTAAAAACTGATAGTCTGATCCTCGTTTTAAAGAAATCTCTATCTTGCTTTATATCCTTCAGAGAAGTAACATTATTTAACTATTAGTTAGAATTCAGACAAGTTGGTAAGTATGTGTGGCTGTTACTACTTTGTGCAAATGAACTTCAACTAGTTCTTTCTAAAATGTATATAGTTAAGTAATGTGATGCCTGCTGTAATGGCAAAACAGTGGATTCTGGGTGTGACACACTTTTAGTACTTGTGGCATACTTTCTTATTGCAGCTAATGCAGCGTTCAGACTACTTAAGATTTTTTTCACACCATTACTTTATCCTGGAATGGTGGCATCTTGACAGCTTTTAGTCATGAATTATACAACATAAGAGTTTTTTTTTTTCCACATTTGATTAATTGTTTGTAAACCCTAAAGGAAAGTCTTGTACCTTGATTACTTATTCAACTTAATACCATTAACTTGTATTCCTTCTTACCAAGGTGCTATCTAAATTTCTGTTGGACTCAGTTGGATTTGGAAGTCTGCATGAGAAACTTGAACATAACTAAATCTGTTTAATTTGGATATAAAGTTGAACTGACATAGCTACATGTTGCATTGACTTTCTTACAAATTTTAGCATCTTTCTCAGTTTTTGTTTGTTTTGGGTTTTGGGGGGGTTTCAGTTCAACTCTACAGCTAATATTCTTGTATTGTAAGTCTCATCCATGTTGGAAATATGAAAACAAAGGAAAATGAAATGAAAGAAACTAACTAGAATAATTCATAGTGCTTCATTGCAGGAAAAAATAACTATTCTTCCAGTAGCTCCTTTTGTCTCATGGGGTGGGTGGGAGCAAATATTTTAATTAAGGTTTGGCTGATGAGATTTGTGAGCTTTAACTCTGGCCGCAATTTCTAGCTTTAAGTATTTTTGTGGCATTATTTGCATATTCTGTTTGTAGTAGAAACAACCAAAATACTCTTATGGGTTGAACTGAACTATTATTGTATTATAAGAAACATTATTTCTATGTGGATATTTTAAAAGGATCTTCAAGGTATTTACGTGTAATTGCATCTTAATGTAGCCTACGTTCAGCAGCACTTGTCTATATGAAGTTATATTTTAGTTTATAAAGTCTCATTATGTTCACTTTATAGACATTTTAACCTTCGAATGAAGAGAGATGCATCCCTCTTTAGTGATGACTTTAAAGTAGAAATATCAAATAAAGTAACTGATTATGATACCTCCCATATTTACACTGGACATATATATGGTAAGTACAATATTTTAAATGGATTAAAATGCAAAAGCTTAATAAAATGTTTACATTAAATGTTGCATTATCAACGGGATTTATTAAATTATTCTAAGTATGAATTTGAAAAATGTAAAATCTGTAGTATGAATAGATTTAATCTTTTTTCCTAACTTTTTTTAATTTGCCAGTTATTTGTTTAACTTAAGTCTCAAGTTTGAACATAAATTATATTAAGTAACTTTTCAAGAATGTGGGTATTATACTTCGCTATAAAATCTTCCTCCTTCAGCCAGATGATGATTTACCTAACTGTGAACTGTACCAGAAGGCTAAACCTTTTGAGCTCACCAGTGCCTGTTTAAATACAGCTGCATGGCCCTACTGCATTCCCAGGCAAGTTGGTACTTCAAGGATTCTGACAATGTGGTGAACAGGGTATTTAAACACCAGCATATGGAAAAATGCAAAAATGAATGCGTTAATCGAGGGTAGGCACCTGTAACATAAATAGGGGTGGGTGAAAGGCATCGGCCTTGGGCATCAATTAAGAGGGGGCATACCCAGGCACAGAAATTGCATGTATAGGAAGCATTTTTTTCTATTTGGATATTTTTTTAAGGGATCTTCAAGGTATTTACTTCCAACTGCATCTTAATGTAGCTTATATTAATCAGCATTTGTCTATCTGAAGTAATGTTTTAGCTTGCAATCTTTATTTTGTTCACTTTATAGACATTTCAACCTTCCAGTGAAGAGATGCATCCTTCTTTAGTGATGACTTGAAAGTAGAAATATTAAATTAAGTAACTGATTATGAACCCCCCCCATATTTACACTGGAACTGGTAGGAACTTACCATGTAAGGAGCATACAGTAACCGTGGAACTGCTCTTATCCTGTTGTAAATGAAAGCTAAACTATAGTAGTTTAGCCTGTTTCAACATGGGATGAGCTGCCCTAGTCTGGCTTTCACTTACAGCAAAGTAAGCACAGGAACATAAACAGTTATTATGGAGCATGGGCTCCATGGCATCTTCTTACCCCCTTTTAATTTGCTATAATTCATTTGTTTGTCTTGGCATTAGATACTCAAGATGCCTCTAGGGAAGTGGCTGTTGCCCCATTTAGGCTTACCCCTTATTTATTTGACTTGAGACACCCTCTCCATAACTTTTGTGAATTAAGCAGCACCCCATTTCCAAAACTAATTTATTTATTGTAGTGCTTACCTCCTTGCAGAGGGGCTGGGCAATAAGAGCCGTGAAGCTGCCAGGCAGACGCAGCATGTACACCTGGACCCTGAGCTTGTCCTTATCTGCTTGTCTCATCATGTCTCCCGTGCCACACCTCAAAGGATCTTGTGGGATGCCTTGGCTGAGAATCATTGCTCCAGGGCTAATGAATCTAATCATTTTTTTTTGACAAAAGATAGTAACCATTAATAATTGATTCAACAAATAAAGAAAAGGTTTTCACATAAGGGTTTCACTAGAGTCTTAACATGAGGCCATTCTTTTAGGTGATCACTTTTATTTCCCCTAAGGTTATAAAATCAGCCATCTAGCAGATCAGGACATCTGTCCTTTCTGAATGTTAATCTTGGACCACATGTCCACATGGACTGCCTTTCTATTTTAAAAGGCGTAAAGAGAAGCTATTGATCTAACCCTTTAGTAGAAGTGGGTATAGTTTGTATTGCAACAAACAATTGGGGTGGGGCTGAGGCTTTCCCAGCCCTAAGCTCTTGGTCAGTGGGCCTAAAGACTTCATAGACTTCGTAGACAGTAAGGCTGGAAGGGACCTCGGAAGATCATCGAGTCCAGCCCCCTGCCCAAAGGGCAGGAAAAAGACTTTGCTACGTTCTCTAAAAGCTGAATCTCTGACTTAATGTTAGGTTAATTGTTATTTAGCCCCAATCCTTGTTTAATTCTGGACTATATAGTCTACGCTAGGGCTGTCGAACTTTTAGTGTGGCCCCTGGCTGCTTAGTGTGAACCATAGGCCTTTTCCCCTTTCTGCCACTGCAGCTGTGTTTGAGGGCAGCCCTCTCTCCTCTGCTGCACTATGCTGGGGACCCCTTAAGTGTGGGCACTCGATATGGGCACAGGACACAAAGGCAAGAAAAGTGAGAGGCAACCAAGAGTCCTTGGGTGCTGCTGCTGCTATAGCTGGAAGGATGGGTGGGAGGAGCAGTTGAGTAGGAGCCTGAGGACCACAGCATAACCCCTCATAGGCCCTATGCAGTCTTTGGGTTGTTGATTTGGACAGTTCTGATCTACACTGAAGTTTCAAATCATGTTCAATGGTACAGTAATCCAGTAATTTACTGGTAATTGTGAAGTTAGCTCATCTTTAAAAGATGACCAGGACTATCTTGATTATTCTGAAAAGCTAATTCATCTGGATTATTCTAAAATTTCAAGGAATGTGAAAGAATGCTTAAATCTTGTATACTTTATGATGTAAAATTGAGGTATTCTTCATACTTTTCTTCACATATTTAACTTTTCTGCTCTTGTCTTCCACAAGTGTATCTTTTGTTCTCGGATGAATATTTTGCTTCAAAAGTTTCATGGATCGGTAGAGCTTGAAGCTGAAGTATGTTTACATAAAAGCTCTTCATAGAAGCCTGATAGCACAAAACAGGCCAATATTTCTGCATTTTAAAAGATAAATGGATACTGAGAATAAGCTGTTGTTATCTGGAAAGTAAGATAGCTGCAGCTGGACTGTCCCCATCCTCATGAAGGAAGACGGATGCAATAATGTACAAGTATAAATTGAGTAAAAATGAGAAAATGATGAAAAAATTGGGGAAAAAGAAGATTAAGGCATACTACTACTGTCACCAATGTGAAGTGTTTTGCATGGATGCTGTCTGTATTGTCCTGTAATCAACCACCTCGAACTTTTTGACGACCATGTAGTAGTTATTCCCATTATTTTTAGACCTGCAGATTTGGATTGGCTTAAATTGGAGTGGACACTTATTTGGCCCAAGGGCCATATCTGGAGTTTTGATGAGCTGTTGTGGGCCAGGTCAGCACTCACCTTCTCCTGTCACTCCCCTCTCCCTGTGTGCAGCAGCTCACTAAAACTCCCTGTGGGGTTTGGGTGGGCACCAACGGTGCTCCTTCACCCATTCCTGCCCCTGCCGCACCACTCTGGGTGGGGGGGAAGCTTCAGCCAGGCAGCTGTCACTAATAGTGAGGGGAGCAAAGCAGTACCCAGCTGACTGCAGCTGCACCAAGAAGTGCCCCACCAGAAGCTGTGCAATGGCCAAGGGCCAGGCTGGTGGGCACTGGTGGGAGTGTGGTGTGGGCTGCCCTGATGGGTGCAGGTGGGGCTCAGCACCATGCAGAGTGCTGCAGGGGTAACCACCAGCCAGATCCAGTCAGTTGGCAGGCTATATTTTGCCCACCCCCAATCTAAATGGTCTTAACACAATGGCACTTGCTTGGTAAGCTTCCTTCCCTCCCCAAAGTAAGTGCAGTTGTTAAGTACTGTCTACTTGTTACAATTTTTACAGACTACATTGCATTCAGCTGCTCTGCACACTATGGCAAGCATAACTTGGTCTGATATGGGTTATGGAGCTTGACACTTTTCTGCCTCCGGAGCATAAGCCCCCGTTGTTAAAGAAAAAATCTAGTTACTGAAGTAATATTAGGGTTGATTTTGTTGTTTTAGAGTTCTGATTTAAACATCATTATTTACTGTGGTCAAAGGCAATTCAAGTACTCTGTGGTCATATTATATAGTTTGTCTTGAAAGAAACTGGATAGTAGTTACTGTTGCACCCTATGAATGAATATTTAGAACTCCTTTAAGAACTCATTCTCTGAAACACTATATAAGAATTTATAAATAGAGGATTGGTCTGTTTATGCATACAGTATTGCATTAAATATATTAGCATACCTCATTCCAAAATACAAGGCTTTAGACCACAAGTGAGAAATGGAGTCTAAGGGGGAAAAAAACTAACTTTTTATGGTTTGCCAAATTTTGCCTTTGGATGCATGCAACGGACAGCACTACCTTTCATTCCTTGTGCTGTTCTAGACTATAAATTTAATTTCCTACACAAATACTGGTAAACGAACAAAGGACGTCTCAGGTGTGCATGTACAACGTTTAGATAATAACTGTAAACATACGTGTTGATATGTACCTAAACTAAATTATTAAAAAAATACATATAGAGAAATCAATTTGTTTAAATACATCAGTTGAGAGTCTTACATAAGTTAACATATAAACTAGACCTGAATTCCTCCTGTGCATTTTTGGTGAATTTTTTACCTACCACCACCATTGCCACCATCTCCCCCTCCTCCTCCTCCTAAAAATACTTCTGTTCCATATTAGCTGTAAGGTTTGTTTAGTGCTGTAATCTGGATTATTTTTTCTGATTTGTCACATAGTACTCGTATACTGTATAGCTTGTTTGTACCTTTATTGGTTTTATTGCATTGGTTTTTTAGATGTGTTCTTTTGAAACATTTTAGAGAAGTATGAATTTTATTTTAAAAATACACTTGCTTCCTTCTCTAATAGGTGAGCAGGGAAGCTTTAGCCATGGATCTGTTATTGATGGAAGATTTGAAGGATTCATCCAGACGCACAGTGGCACCTTTTATGTTGAGCCAGCAGAGAGATATATTAAGGACAGAGCCCTACCGTTTCACTCTGTCATTTATCATGAAGATGATATCAGTAAGTACTCCCATTTTGATCTTTAGATGAAATGAAAATATTTTTATTAAATGTCAAAAACTGTTTATGCCATTGGAAAGCTTCAGAATGAGGATTATCTCTAAAAGATTGGTCCAAGGTTTGCCTTCATTCAACCCAATTGCATTCTACTCCCTACTTTTCCACTTGAAGTAACTTCCTAGCAATCTAATTAGTGTATTAGTGGAATGGTTGCTAAACAGTCACACAAAGCCTTCCCTTAGGAAATACATTGTTAAAAATGGCTTCCAATGGTATATTCTTATTAGTTCTTGGGGTCTGCAAAATAAGGGATGATGAAACTCAAGTCATAAAGCTCTTGCCTTGGTGCAGTTTACGAAAGAGATACCTAATTTATCTGAATAATAGAAATCAGTTTTTCCTTGGTATATACATCCTTGATTTCTTCACACTGCTGTTTAAGAGGTCCAAACATATGACATTCTGGCGTGCAAGTTTGGGGAAATGCAGACAATGCAACCTAGATTGTTTTGAAATTTGTAGCCCCAAGACATCTCGCTGAAGTATCTGTTTTAAGATACTTGAGAATTATATAAGTCTTGTCCTGCTTCAGGTGTTGACATATCAGAGACCTTCTAGATGTTGATTAAATTTTGTCTAGCTATTTTTCAGGGTTTGGTTAAAAAAAAACCAAAAAAAAAAAAACCAACAACAACCCCCCCCCCCCAAAAAAACAAAAAAAACCAAAAAAAAAAAAAACCAACAACAACCCCCCCCCCCCAAAAAAAACAAACAAACCCAAAACAAAACCCAAAAAACCTATTTCAAAGTCTAGTTTTTCATGTACCCATTGACAGAGAGTGGCATAGTAAATGTCATGGAAAAATCAAGCTAGAAGGGATCTTACAAGATCTAGTCAAAGCTCCTTCTTAATATATTATCATCCTGGTTTTAAACCATCATGATCACCCCTTGTGTTAAACCATCCAGGTCAAAAGTTTGCATAACTTGCACTTAGAATTTCCATCACGGGAAGTTTATGACCTTTAGGTAATTTATTCCAGTATTTAATCATCCTCAGAATTTGAAAGTTCTTCCCAGTATCCAACTTAAGTTTTCCTTGATTCAATATAAGCCCATTGTTTGTTGTCCTGTCTCCTGGTAAGCAGAGGATAGTGTCACAGGGGTGCTCAACCCCTCACCCAAGCCATGGGGTAAATCTGGCCCTAGAGCTCCATCATCTGACCCATGGGGCTTCCAACAGGTCCAGAAAGTTGGCAGCAGGGGAGTGGTTAATGCTTCTGTATGTGTGAGGAACCTACAGATCAGAGAGTGGACCAGGCAGTGCAGAGTCTGATTCCTAGTGGGTGGAAGCAGCACAAGGTCCAATCCTTGCTTGGTGGGGCTGTTGCCATGCCACTCATCTGGCCTGTGAGACCAAACACTTGAGCACCACTGATCTGTCACCATCTTCTCTGTAACAGTTTGTATTTGTAGGCTGTTATTCAATTTCCCTTAGTCAAATTTCCCTCAATTTCCCACAGTCTTGTTAGGATTGAATACCCCCAGTTTTTATAATCTTCCTTCTAAAGTCATAGAGAAGCAGGGCTGGAAGGGACCTCTGGCGGTCATCTAGTCCAGCCCTGTACCTGAGGCAGAAACATCCTTATCCAAAGCATCCTAAACAAATCCTTGTTTAACCTGTTGCTAAAACTGTACAGTCAGCCCTGTCATAGCCACAGGACACAGCACCCTAACCTGCCATCAGTAAAGCAGGGGAACAATGGGTGGGCAGTATTCTGGTGCTTCAAGGGTTGTTAAAATATGCTTGTCAGATCCAAGGAAGACTGACACATCCCTGCTACAGAGGAAGGCAAAAATTCCCACAGTCCATACCAATCTGACCATGGGGTAAAATTCCTTCCAGTCACTGTTGTTGCTTTCCTCTTTACTCTTTCCAATTTGTCCATGTCTTTCTTGAAGTGTAGTGCACAAAGGTGGGTACTGCAGGTGAGACTTCAGCAGTGCTGAATGGAAGAGAAGAATCACCTCTTCCAGCTTGTATGCAACACTCCTATCAATGTACCCAGTATGCTCTTGACTTTTTGCAATAATACTGTACTACACTTCAGCTGATCCCTTCATCTTATTGTCTGCTTTAACCCCCAGGCCATTTTCTGTACCATTGTAGCCTAGCCAGTTGTTCTCCCATTTTGTCTTGGTATATTTGATTGATCCTTCCGAAGTACAGTACTTTGCACTTGTCTTTACTGCAATTCATCCCACTTGTTTCACCTATTTCACTGATGCATTAAGGTTGATTTGAATCCTAATCCTCTCCTCTGAACTATCTGCTACCTCTGTCTCCTTAGTGTCATCTGCATATCTCTACTAAGTGTGCACTCAATGACTTCCATCCTGCAAGTCATTAATGAAGTTATTGAGCAGTATCAGACCCAGGACAGAACCCTGGAGAGCCCCACTTGTTATCTCTTCCCAAGCAGACATTAAGGCATTGATGACAACTCTTTTGAGCATGATGTTCCCATCAGTTACAGCAATTTCATCTAGCCCAGTAATTCTCCACCTTTTCAGACAGAAGGGATCCCTTGGAAAATGCCGCCTCTTATTTTTCCACAGTCAAAAAATGAATTAAAACTAATACAGCAATTCTGTTGCAAACAAGTCCAAGACCACAACAGGTCAGAATATATATATATTTTTTTAACACTGTAGATTTCTATGTGAACCTTCTGGGATTATCTTGTGGTTCGTGTTCGCACGCCTACCAGAGCTAACACTATGTGGCATCTTGCAGCACCCCACTCAAGGCATCCTGGTTGAGAATCACTGATCTAGCCTGCATTTCCTAAGAATACTTGAGAGAGTGTTTTTGGATACAACAGGGGTGGGAAAAATACACCCTGAAGGCAGGATCCAGCCTGCCAGGCCATTCTATCTGGCCTGCGGGGCCCCTCTAAAATGTAGAAAATTACCACCTGCTGGTGGCTGCCTATCAAAGCTGGAGAGGTGCTGGCAGCAGGACCCAGTGGTAACAGAATCAGCCAAATCCAAAGCGAATACTAGCCACTTCACACAGGCTTGATTATTTAGGCAGAACCTGTTCCTGACAAGTACATGCTAACTATTCCTTATCGCTTTGTGTTCAGAAGTAGATTCTTTGCAGAGAATACTCCAGTATCTTCCCAAATATCAAGGTTAGACTGACTGCTCTAACTTCTTGCATCATCCTTGTTTCCCTTTTTTAAAGGATGGGCAAAATATTTGCCATTTTCCAACCTTCTGGGGCTTCCTGTGACCTCCAATAGTTCTCAAAGGCAATAGCCAATGCCTCTGCAATAATCTGAACCAATTCCTTAAATACGTCAGGATGAATTACATCCAGCCCTGCTTATTTGAGAATACTCATCTTGGTAATCTTCAACCTGTTTCTTCCTTACTTGAGGCTTATCTCCTCTTCTGTCCTTACTGTTAGTCATGCATGTCGTCTGATAGTTGACCTTTGTTGGGAGGATTTGAATTTAAAAAAAAAAAAAAAAAAAGTTAAAATTTTTTTGGCTGTCCCGGGATTATCTGTTATTAGACTTTCATCCCACCAGTCTTTACCTTGCAGATTCTCTTGGGTATAAGAATTAAAGATTCTTAGGACACAAGCTGGGACAGCACTGCTTAATTTAAAAGCCTGTGCCAGGTAGCTCCTGAAATAGCATTTAAAAAAAACAGTTCAATGTATAACTTGCTTTTAAATGGGTCCTTTTCTGACAGCAGTGTGGTTTCTACTTGAACACAAAGTACTGAACTTGAACAGTTTAGATTAATTTTATTTTCATATTTCCTGGCCAAGTTGTTTACATTGAATTAAATGGAACTTGCCTTGGACTGATGGGACTGAAGACAAAAATTGAAGTCCCTCCACGGCTCTTGGCTTTTCTCCAACCATGATTACTTATGAGTTGTCCTCAACTCTGCTTCGTCAGCGGAAAGGGCCAAACTGGAAGAGGAGCTCAGCTTTCCCTTGCATACTCACCACCCTGTTCTACTTTTCCCAAGCTACAACTTGGGGGGGGGGATGCTCCTTAACCCAAAACCCAAATTTTCACTCAAGGTTTTTTCCTTTGTTCCCTTGTGAATTTCTCATTATTTCTTTTCCTTTAGAACCCTTTTCATGGTGATTGGCATATGCTCCATATTGGACAGCAGCTGCATTTTTGCCTTGCCTTGTGTGGACTAGTGTATTCCTGGTGCCATCCCTCATCTGTACAGGCTTCTAGAACCTTGCCCCACAAAAAGATTTCCATGTAATCTAGGCGTGTATCCTTTTCTACTAGGAGTTCCCTACTTATCTTCTGCTTTTGCTGTTGTGAACAAAAACTAATGTCACAGCAGTGACTGGTCACAGCGTAGAATCATAGAAAATGAGGGTTGGAAGGGACCTCAGGAAGTCATCTTGTCCAACCCCCTGCTCAAAGCAGGACCATCTCTAACTAGATCTTCCTAGCCAAGGATTTGTCTACTCGGGTCTTAAAAACCTCCAAGGATGGAACTTCCACCACCTCTCTGGGTAACCTCTTCTAGTGTTTTACTACCCTCGTAGTGAGAAAGTTCTTCCTAGTATCTAACCTGCCACTTGAGACCATTGCTTCTTGTTCTTTCATCTGCCACCACTAAAAACAGTCCAGCTCCATCCTTTTTTGAACCCCACTTCAGGTAGTTGAAGACTGCTATCAGATCCCCTCAGTCTTTCCTCATAAGTCATGTCCCCCCAGATCCCTCAGCATTTTTGAAGGGGGGCTCTCCATTTGTCCACATTCTTTCTGTAGTTGGGGACTGGTTGTAGTTGGCTGACTGGTCTGTAGTTCCCTAGATCCTCCTTCCTTTTCTTAAAGATGAGCACTATATTTGTCCTTTTCCAATCATCCAGGACCTCTCCTGATCACTATGAGTTTTCAGAGATGATGGCCAGTGGCTCTGCAATCTCAGCAGCCAACTCCCTCAGCACC